CTGCGCAATTTCTTTAATTCAATTTTTTATTATAATTTAATGTAAATCTGATAACAAAGTAATTTATTTTTGTTTAATAATATAATTTTTATAAGAACGATAATTAAGTATTCTGTTAAAATTCAATGATTATCCTGATTATATTTTAGTTTTTTATATTTAAAATAAATAAATGTTTATCTTATATTTGATTATGTTTATCTGCAGTTAGTTATACGAATTCAAAAAATAAAGCTTTAATAAGTTGTACTTAAGCACAATCTAAATCTTACATTTTAAGTAATATGCATCAATAAAAATAATACTCCATGCATAAAAAAAATGTTTTTAAGAGTTTTTGTCAAATGTTTTATAATATAGCATAGATAACCCCCTTAATCCAAGAAAACGTCATGAATTTTACAGTTATTTCAACAATCCATTTATTTACAGTAAACTTGTTGATTTAGATATTCATATAATTAGTAAATCATAATTGGTTTTTCGAAAGAAAAATTTACTATGAACCATGATAATAGATTTATAATGCATCCAAACAACCCATTAGTATTCAAAACGCAACATCAAATGTTGTTGCATTACGTTTTTCCATGCCATGATTTAAAATTATGTCGTTTAAGGAAAAAATATATACATTAAAATGTAACACAAATTTTGTGTCATGAATCTCTTAGGGGGCATTTACCAGACATTTATCGGGTAAACAGTTATCAGGTATTACCTTTCCAGATGAGCATAATAAGGATCAAAACTTTTATCTGATAAAAAAGAATGTGATGATTAAGAGTTTTAACCGGTAAATAAAGTGATGATCTTACACGGTAAGTATATACCATGTGATGGAGCTATTGGATCTAGACCAATCCATGTTTTTAACTAGACTTCTTTTACTTGGAGGACAAGCCCAAAAACCGTTTTTTTTTTTATAGAAATTTTCTGTCACGTGGCATGCTCCCATTGGACTACCTATATTATTGTTTTTTTTTTTTTTTGTCTTTATTCTTGGTCTTTGTGACCATTTTTACCTTTTTGCTTTTTTAATTGATTAATTACTATTTTTATCTTTATATTGAAGGTGTTTTTGGTGTTTTTTTATACAGATTCTTTCAATCTCCCATACGTTTGTTTTACAGTTTCATTTTCAAGTTCGAGAAAAATCCATTTTCACTTTAATTTTTTTATTTCTCAAGCTGGTGAATCTCAAGTGTTTCGAATGGTTTGGAATCTCAATCCCCCAAAAATTTACGTTGTTGAACTAATCGAGGAGCACAACCGAAAAGCCCTGATTTGGAAACATCTCGTTTTGGTGAGAATGTTTAACGGAAAAAAAAAGCGCACAATGAGACATTCTAGAGCTCTTACAACGGAGGAAAACTCCGCCCAAAAAAGCCACATAGAAAATACATGAAAATGACCCAAGGTGGATCCAAACGGCCTTCAAACCAAAATACCATCAAGTACGCCGCTCAACTTGAAAGCGTGATGCTTTTAGATTATGGAAAATTGCACCAACGAAATGCAAAATTTACGTCAAACATATTTGTGTAGCGACTCGTTGGATTGATCCAATAGAGTGGTTAATGATAAAACGCACAATTGCCTCATAGTGCAAACGAGTTCTACTAAATTCTAAAAAAAACGAAGAAAATAATTATCATTTTTTTGACAATGCATCTTATAATATCATAAACATTGAAAAATTAAAATAATCACCTTGATATATTGGGACGGTGGAAAGAAAAGAAAGACCAAAAATTCAATTCTCGCCGTTATGGCAGGAGACCTACTAATTGTTCAAGCTAGCACAGTAGCTTCAACTTCATAAGCCACTTTTTTTCTTTCAATGACGTAGTGCTTTCAGAACGAATGATGTGGCTTATACTGGAATCGCTCATGGTTTGCTTTTGCTTCAAGAACTAAAAGATGAAATGACAA